ATAAAACACGAAATTAACAGCCGATTCCATTCAGACTTGGCACGTATCAATATTTCCAACAACGCAAGATCCTTTACAATGAACATAAAGAACGGACCACTTCTTTTGGTATCTCCCCCACAAAGGGTTAAAGTTTTGAATAACCGAAACAATCATAAAATCGGAAATAAGCATCCAGTTCTCTTCAAATTACACATATCACAATTTTATTAATATTATTTTATTAATCTAAGGTTTGGTCTGAATATGGAATATATCGGTCCACTCCTTCTGGTACCTGAATATTCATGAAGCTCATAAAATACGAAATTAACATCCGATTCCATTAAGACTTGGCACATCTCAATATTTCCAGTAACACACTTTTATATTTTATAAAGATGGTAGAGATCGGACCATTCCTTCTAGAACCTCCCCCACAAAGGGTCAACATTTTTAATAACCAAAACTATCATAAAATCCCAAATAAGCATCAGATTATCTTCATATTTCACACATCCCATTATTTCCACTAACACAAGATCGGCTGTGGAGATGGGATATATTGGTCCACTCCCTCTGGTACCTCCCGCACAAAGAATTAAAATTTTTGAAAAACAAAACGCCCATAAATCGCGAATCAAGCCTCTAACTCTCTTCGAATTTCACACATCCAAACATTTTTGCCAATGCAAAATCTGTTGTAAAGATGATATATATCTGCGAACCTCTTCTGGTAACTCATCACAACAAAGGGTCACAATTTACAATACTTATATCTGCCATAGCTTTGGAAACAAGTTGGCGATTCTTTACAAATTGCTATATATGAATATTTCTCTTAACTTGAAATCTGATATGAATATGTAATTTATCGGAATTTATGAGTTCGCATTAAATTGGATATAAATGTTCGATTTCCTTCAAACTTTGTATATAGCAATATTTTTATCTGCATTTGATGAAGTAAGAAAATGGAATACTTCGGTCCGCTATATCTGGTACCTCACGCATATTTCCACATTTTCCAAAAATTTTCACATATTTCATATAAAGTACAGGAAGTAGTCAATATAGTCCGAATCTGGCACTTTATATGTATTTTTATCAGTATTAGGTCAGATACGAATTGGTCAATATTGTCCAACTGCTTCGGAACCTCCTCCATAAAGGATCAACAATTTGAATAACCATAACTTAAGGCTGGTGGTATATATCTGTCGGCAAAACCGACTGATACTATTTTACTTATTTAGCTCTAATTGCATATTCTGCTGAATTGTCCCCGTAATTATTGGAAAATTGATTTCGGTAAAAAATATTTCAAAGCAAACCAAAATATTTGGAAGTTACAAAAAACTCCGTTTCATAACTGAATTTGAATCTGTTATTCAACTAATTTCAACTTAAAATGCCATTTAGGAACTACTTCTCAATTCAAAATTCCTCACTAACAACTTCCATTCAATCAATTCATTTGTAATCCTCATGTAAATACATAGTTCCCCTATCCCCTTTTTTCCGCATGTTTTCGAACATGAATCAGATTAGACAAAATTAGTTGGATACAAGTGCTACAAGTTGTAGTTGTTGTTGTTGTTGTTGTTGCTACACTTAATACAGTTGTATCTGGCAATTTATCGTTACTTCAAGAATCTATTGATTTTTTTCTGCACCCCTTCTCCCTCAATTATTTGTCACCATTGGACAATGTCGCCCCTTTCCATGTTCAACCGCTTGCAACTTGTCATCCTCTGCTGTCTCACCTTTCAATGTCTAAACACTGTCGTTGGTTACTTTGATTTTTTTCTGCTGCTGCTCGTTTTTATAGGTCATCCATTCATCTATCGTTTGTTCGTTCGTTCATTCGCTCCAGCTCTCCATCCAGCCAAGTTAATATGATTGTACGACGACATCGAAAAAATGCCTGGCTACTGCTGAGATTGGAGCGCATTTTATTGTCTGTGTTATACGGTTATGGGTCCTTGTTTACGATGGCAGTTTGTTTGCCGCTTGGTTGGTAGTTTAGATTCGGAAGAAAATTCGATGTAGGTTGGAGGTTGTTGGGGGGTTAACAGAAGAGCTGCTGATGATGGTGGAGCTAGAACTTTCTCGGCTTGTCTGGCTGAGTCTTTTTCAGTCAATCGATAAATTACAGTAGCCGTAGTAACAGTTGATGATGGTGGTGTGCTGCAGAACAGAATGTGGCAACAAAGACATATGGATAAATTGCTACAAAACATAATGACGTTATTTGCGCCCTTTTCAAATACCTATTGCTTTTGGTTTTTTTGTCGTCATTGTTGTTGTCGTTGCTTGTCATTTAATGGTAGAGAGAGAAAAAGTTCTGCTTTCACTGATAGTATTTTTTTCTGTAAATTGCGAGTAATGGAAAAACGATTTACAATATCACGCTGTTTGCAAAAGGGAGTTGTAAAATTTAAGTTGGAATGAAGAAAGCCATTAAATTTTTAAATATATTTTGAACAAGTAAAATCGTATCAGTCTGTTTTTCCGACAGATATATACCTCCAGTCTTAAGTTATGATTATTTAAACTGTTACCCTTTATAGGAGAGGTTCCGAAGCAGTTGGACAGTATTGACCAATTCGTATTTGACCTAAGACTGATAAAAATAATACAACGTGTCAGATTTGGACTATAGCGACTACTTCCCATACCTTATATGAGATATGTGCAAATTTGTGGAAAATGTGGAAATATGCGTGAGGTAAAAGATATAACGGACCGAAGTATTCAATTGTCATGCTTCATCTAATACACATTAAATTTTTGAGGGAAATTGAAATATATACAATTTTATGCAAAATCACAAATTCCGATAAATTACATATTCATATTAGATTTCTGGTTAAGAAAAATATTTAGATAGAGCAGGTTATAAAGAATCGCCGACTTGTTTCGCAAGTTATGACAAATATAAATATTGGAAATTGTGATCCTTTGTGAGTGAGGTACCATAAGGGTTTTGCAGATCTAGTGTTAGCAAAAATATTTGGATGTGTGAAATTTTGAAGAGAGTTGGATGCTTATTTTGCTTTCTTTGAGCGTTTTTTTTTAACTTAATCCTAAGTGTGGGAGGTACCAGAAGAAATGGTCCAATCTCTACCAAATTTATAACAGATCTTGTTATAATCTTGAGAGGCACCAATTCTAAATAGAATCGGATGTTAATTTCCCATTTTATGAGCTTCATGGATACTCAAAATTTTCACCCTTTTTACTTATTTTCAAATGTTATTGAATGAAAGCAAAAAATGTCGGACATAGCATCAAATTTTAGAATAAGTTTAGATTTGTTCGAATTGGTGACCTTTGGCATGAATTATGACCTTCAAACGGCCAATGAAACCCTCACACGCAATCCGAATGTTGCTCTGCGGTATTTTTGCCCATTCCCGGCGAAGCGCTTGCTTGAGGTGATCGACACTTTGGTATTTTTTAGTGTCAACCTTGCTTTCCAAAATACTCCACACATAATAGTCCCACGGATTGGTATCCGGAGATTTTGGTGGCCATTATGCGCTGGAAATGAAGGGAGGAACCTCATATTGTAGCCATTCTTGGGTGGCGCGTGCTGAGTTCGATGGTGCTGAGTCCTGTTGGAATGTCCGAGGTCTGCGGACAAAATGTTTGCGTACCTAAGGCTTTAATACACCCTCCAGTATATTTTCGCTATAATATTCGGCATTTATTCTGATGACACGGTAAATTAATATGAGCGAAGAGCTACCATCGGTTGTTTTGGCAGCCCACATCATCACCATGCGCTTGAGTTCTGGTGGCCAACCAAAGGTGTACATTTTCAGCTGACCTCTTTGGCAAGTAAACACGAGGGGTTCATTTTGTTCATTTACAAACTGCTGGACAACGAATGTTTTTTCATTGGAGAGGGAAAAAACCAAATTCGGCAGTCCACCACTTTCGGCCAAGCGAAGCAACTCTTTAGCTCTTTTGAGTCTTTTTTCTTTCTGTCGCGGTGTAAGTTCTTGGCCTTTTTTGAAATTTCAATGGCTTTACCCCGAGCTCATTTTTCAATATTTGCCGAATGAAATATTGCGATATGTTCAGCTCACGAGCTTCTTTACTTTCGAACCATTTCTGCTGATGTTGCTGGTTTCTTCCGTCCACTTCCTTCACGTGGAGCTACGCTACCAGTATCACGATAACCACGATAGCCTCTCGTGGTTTTCCAGCCAAATATATAGAAATCACACTATCACGCTTGAATTCCATCGCGAATAACATTTTTTCTACAAAATTCTCATCAAAATGCAAAAACAATATAATGAGCTGTCACTGGAATAATTTTAAAAGCTGTCGGACTAGTGGCTTAGAAATAACAGCAGTCTGAAGTTGGTTACAGTTTTTTTCATCTCACCCTGCATAATGGAAATAAAGAGTTTCTTTCTTTGATGACTTATAGTGAAATACGATGAGGAAAATTTTTGTCTTTGACATTATCTTTCTAAAATTATGCTTTGTTGGAGATTTTTGCATAACCTCACATAAAGTACGGCTTTAACCCTAAAATATGTTTTTAAAAAATAGAACTTCCTGCCGTTCAGGTAAGATTTAGACTCTTAATGTCCTTTAGGACCTACAGCAGAATTTTATGACAAATAATTTCGTGGAAAATTTTAAAGGGAGTTTTTAGGCAGATTTAAAAAAAAGGACTAGAAATACTCCTTTGTTAAATCGCTTGAGGGTTGAAACTTTCTACCAAAATATGTCTTCTATTAACTTTGGATCCTCAAAAGTAACTATGGGTCTATCTCGCCTCCTTCTTTATGTTACAAATAAATGCCCAAAATATATAATATCCTGTACCAAAGTGCGGCGTGGGGTATAGAAGGAGAGAACTATTCGCACACAATTATCAGTCTCTAAGTTTTTATTTGATATTGGATTCGCGAATTTATTGTTTGCCTTATTTTATTTGAAATATTTGAAATAATAATCATATTTTTAATGTTTTTCTCTCCAATTTTTCTTTCCAGGTCGTTCTTGTATTTATACTTAGTATTGCTTCGCTCATTATATACTTTGTTGATGCATCTAACGAAGAAGTCGAAAGATGTCAGCCATGGAGTACTAACATTACTCAACAAATCGATCTTGCATTCAATATATTTTTCATGGTTTACTTTTTTATACGAGTAAGTTGCTGACAATTGGTTTAAACACACATTGGATAATTATTTGTTTTTTTTTGGTATCACAATTTTTTTATTATATTTATTTTTTAATTATTTTTACTAATTTATTTTTATATTAAATTATCAAGTTTGTTGAGATATTTTTTAAAGGGAAATTTGAGAGCCCGGCAAAAATTGTGGCTGGGGGAGTATTGTTGTTGTGTAATAACAAGTAGAAACCATTAACAATGTTGACCATTTTTATAGCATACTTCCAGGCGCTTCATATAATTTCCCTATAAGAAATGTCTCAATGGAATCAATCATTTACAAAACACAATGCTACTTATATTTAATTTAAAGTTCTTATTTTTAATTATTGTTATTCTTTAATATTATTAATATTTTTATTATTATTGTTATTATTAAACAATTTGTATGAATTTAACCAAACAACTGAAATGGTCGAGATGATGAATGTCGCCGTAACGAATTTTAACTGAATTTTACTTTTTATTTAATTTTGAAAATCTGTTGTTTTTTCTTTCTTTTTTTCTTCATATCTTTCAGTTCATAGCGGCGTCCGATAAACTTTGGTTTATGTTAGAAATGTACAGTTTTGTAGATTATTTTACAATACCCCCGTCCTTTGTATCAATATATTTAGATCGAACATGGATCGGTAAGATTTCAAAATTTTCTTTTTTCCGTTAGTTTCCTTTCTGTTTGTGTGTGTGTGTGAGAGAGAGTGTGAAAATGATATTAACTATGTGTCTGTGTGCCAGTGTGTTTTTTGTACGTCTGTCCTGTCACGATTTTTTCTCTGTCCTCTCTTTAACGACTTTAAAATATTTCTTCTTCTACTACTTCGCTGAATCCGGAAACTATTAACACAAAAATGTCTGTTTTTTTTTAAATCTTTTATTTTGTTTCTTTTATTTCTTTTATTATATTATCTCTTCTTTTTTTTCTGATTTCCATGATCCCAACCACCAAAACGCAATGAAAAAACAAACGAAACGAATTTACGAATTTGTCTGCTTGATCGAAATGCATGATTGTAATGATAATGCTTTTCACAATTAAACGACATAACACTCGAAACTGCGACGTCAACGTAAATACGACTCAAAACCCAACACCCCAACACACACTTACACTAACTCACTGTCCACCCACCACCACTAAAATGCCACACCCCAAATCCTACCCTATCCCAATCCCATCCCCCCCCCCCCCCCCCTCTTGATACAACTACGCGACAATGAAACAAAAATATACTGAACACCACATGCAGGTCTTCGATTTCTTCGAGCATTGCGTCTTATGACTGTACCGGATATATTGCAATATTTGAATGTTTTAAAAACATCCAGCTCAATCCGCTTGGCCCAGTTGGTGTCGATTTTCATATCGGTATGGTTGACAGCAGCCGGTATTATTCATCTGGTATGTATGAAATTAAATAAATATAAATAATAAATTTAATTTTGAATAATTATACTTTTTTTATTTTTTATGTTGTTCATATAAAACTGGGAACATGATGTTAACGGAAAATCTAAAAATTTTGAATTAAAAAAAAATACTTAAATAATTAAAAAAAATATTTAAATAAAAAAAAAAAGATTTATCCTATACCACTACTTCGACAATCCCTCAAAAGCAAAATTGCCATATAACATCAGGTCCAATTATAGTTTCTAACAACTAAAACTAGAACCAGCAAAGAAAGGTCAAAAGTCGACTAGATGATATCCTAAACCCCTATGCATAGTTAGTAGAGCCAACCATATAAAATAACCGTTTCTATTTCGAATTTTTGTGAAGTAGATCATACCAACTAAGAACATTGTTCGAATGCCTATTATGGCTTCAGAACACTTATCACTTAGAATCGGAGGGAACTAATACATGGGAGGTTTGGGAGGATTTACACGAAAATTGACGGAGGCATTTGTACCTCTCGTACCAAATAACGGCTTAACTCTAGATTAGTAAAGACTTGCGCATTTTTTGAAATGTTTTCCAGAGGTAGGTATTTGCACCTTGATTTCGGGAAAGTATTTTTTCGTGGGGGACGGACCCAGATACCGGTATATTTGGTTCGGGTCCAAGATCCGGGTTAGATTCGGACCTACTAAACCACTATCACTTGAAAACTAATGAAAATACCTATCCATCAATTGGTCTATTGTCGAAGTTTTTCAAAACGTTTTCGGAGTTGTATCAAAATTACAGATTTTTTTGCATCCGGTTTAAAAAAAATTCTCAAAAGTCAAAAAAGGCCCCAATTAAAGAGTCCATTATTATGTCTTCCTTGGATCCAGAGATATGGTACATAACAGTACATTCTGTTCATTAAGTAGTTGGCCTACGGCCGGGGATTGATTTTTTCTTTTCTGGGTTTTGTGGATATCGGTTTAGTAAGTCCGGTTCTAACCCGGGTCTCGGACCCGGAATTTTTGGGTCAAATATCCGGGTATCCGGATTCGTACCCTAAGAAAAAACTATTTTCCCGGAATCAGGGCAAAAATACCTAACTCAGGAAAAAAATTTCAAAGTATCCTAAACTAGAGTTGTTCCCAAAAAACATTGCTATAGAGCGCATGATATAACTTCGGGAAGGCTTAAGTTAAAAATATTTTAAAAATATATTAAAAATAAGTTATTTGAAATTGTAAGTGGAATATATGATTCCAAGTTCAGGTGTACTTCACATATAACTTTACCTTCAGATTTCAATACTTTGGCTCAAGATTTACAACCAAACATACTGAAAATTTATATTTCGGGTTCTCAGGGGGTAGTTTAACACTCCAAAAAAAATTATTCAAAGTAGAGCCCTCGGAAAGCGCTAACTTCTTAAGGTTGATCCACATTTTTGTATATAACGGTAACTTGGATATTTTAAAGGCTACACCCCAAATGTTAACCAAATCAGCTGAAAAAATTTCTCTGCGTGAATTTACTCCTAGCTAAATACAAAACAAATTGTCCGTTTGGACCCCTTTCGGTATTTGAATTTTCGTGGATAGTTTAACTCCTCCCCAAAGAATTCAATGCAGGTCTCCTTTTTGTTATAGCCTCCATATAAGTGTAAATTTTTCTATATTTTGAAAGTTTCGGTCCACATTCCAATCAAACCTGACGTAATTTGTCATTTCTGGCTATCAATGGGGACTTAACCCCCCACTAGAAACTATTCAATGTAAATCCCATAATATACCCTCCACCATATAAAGTTTGTCATTCCCTTTGTAACTTCTCGGAGCCATAGAGAATATATATCAGCGTTAGATTCAAAGATGACATAACCATGTCCGTCTGTGGAATATCGATTCGGAACGAAATTAAGTAGATTGATGAAATTTTGTGGAGGATCGCGGAATTTTCGGTATCGAATTTGATACGGCCAAAACGTGCCTCATCGAAATAACGGTTTTGGTCGCTTTGGACCAAATCCGTTTCAGGTCAATTGAAGTATATCTAACGATGTCCGTCCGTCTGTCTGTCTATCTGTTGGCTGGCGTGCGCGATAACTCTCGAAGGGATTATTGTCTGTCAAACTTAGGAAGAGTTCGGAGATGGGCAATAATAATGCAATGTCCACTCCTTCTAGTACCTCCCCCACAAAAAGCCGAAATTTTCTAAAAAATATTTTACTGTCCAGAAAGAGAAAGGATCATTCAATTTTTTGCAAACTTTGCAAATCCTAATATTTGGATCAGTGCTAGATCAGGTGCGAAAATTGACAACATCGGTCCACTCCATCAAGTACCTCCCCCACAAAGGGTCAAAAAAATGTGATGTAAGTGTCCAATTGTATTCAAATTACACACATCAAAATGTTTCCTTCTGGTATCTCTCCTCAAAGGGTCAAAATTTTGAATATCCATGAAGTTTATAAAATACGAAATTGACATCCGATTCTATTCAGACGTGGCACATCTCAATATTTCTATCAGCACAAAATCTGTTGTACCTCACCCACATAGGGTCGAAGTTTTGAATAACCGAAACGATTATAAAATACGAAATAAGCATCCGGTTACCTTACTATTTCACACATCCCATTATTTCTACTAACACAAGATTTGCTGTGAAGGTGGGATATATTTGTCCACTCCTTCTGAAGATCATAAAATGCGAAATTTACATTCGATTCCATTTAGACTTGGTAGATCTTAATATTTCTATCAACACAATATCTGTTATAATGATCGTACAGATCGGACCATTTTTTCTGGTACCTCCCCCAGATGAAGTATGAAAATGGAATACTTCGGTTGCTTGCTTTAAAAGCAGACCTCCGAAAAGCTCACTTGATTTTGCTGAAAGAGTGAAAACCACTCGAATTCGAGCGAGTGAACTCTTGGGAGCCGAAAAAAAAATTGAGCACAAAAAAACTACTCGTTTTGAATCTTAAAGCAAACTTTGAGTAATTCTGTTCCCACTTCCAATGTTTCAAACAAGAGTGACTCACGAGGGCTCCCACACAAACCAAAAGAGTAAAGAGTAGACTCCGTAAAAAACTCCCACTCTTTGAGAAATACTGCTCGCAAGCAGGTTGCGCTCCCGAGTGAAAATGAGCAAATCTGAGCTCGGTTTAAAAGTCGAATTGTCAAAGTTGCATTTTTTCTATTTCCTTCGAAGTTTAGCTACCTTTTTGGTTGTTCCATGGTTCAAACGGTATGCTGAGAATATATATCTGACGGCATATTTTTATACCCTCCACCATACTGTGAAGGATATATTAACTTTGTCATTCCGTTTGTAACTCCTCGAATTACCCAACAAAGTATATATATATATATATATATATATATATATATATATATATATATATATATATATATATATATATATATATATATATATATATATATATATATATTCCTGATCAGCGTAAAATTCTAAGTCGATTTAGCTAGGTCCGTCTGTCTTTCTGTCCGTCTCTCTGTTGTAATCACGCCATCTTTCGAACGAATTGAGATAGAAGGCTAACATTTTGCAAACATGTTTATTTTTCCAGTAGGCAGGTTATGTTCGTAAATGGGCATGTAGGTCCACGTTTTCATATAGCCCCCGTATAACGGTACCTCCCGATATACGGCATTTTGATGATTTTAGCGACTTTATTTACCGGAATTGTTTCAAATTTGGTATTTGAAGTTCAAAATGGATACTACAGCCTAAGACAGAAAATTATCTGTGCAGGTTCACGTCTTCGTATAGGCCCCATATAACGGTACCTCCCTATATTCGGCATTTTGATGATTTTAGCGACATTATTCACCGGAATTGTTTCAAATTCCGTATTTAGAGTTCGTAATGGATACTACAGCCTATGACAAAAAATTGTCTGTGCAGGTCCACGTCTTCGTATATTCCCCATACAACGGTACCTCCCTATATTCGGTATTTTGATGATTTTAGCGACATTATTCACCGGAATTGTTTCAAATTCCGTATTTAGAGTTCGTAATGGAAACTACAGTCTGTGACAGAAAATTGTCTATGCAGGTACAGGTCTTCGTCTATGCCCCATCTATCAGTATCTCCCTATATTCGGTAGGTACAATATCCACCGAAATTTTTTTAGATGTCGTATTTGACGTTCGTAATTGATGCTATAGTGTGACAAAAAATTGTCTATGTTCGTCCAGGTCTTCGCACAGCTCCGGTATAACGGTATCTCTCTATATTCGATATTTTTAAGATTTTAGCTACATTTCGAGTTTCGAATTTGAATATGGTAATGGCTTATGACAAACAGTGCCTATGTAGGTCCACGTCGAATAGACCCCAATATAACGGCTATATTAGGTATTTTTAAAATTTAAACGGAATTTTTTAAGGATTTTATTTTTTGAAAATTTCCAAATTCGTTCCAAATGGTGAAGGGTATTCAAAGTTCGACCCGGTCGAACTTACTGATTTTTCAGACGTAGACCTCCTTCAAACTTCACTTAAATTTGACCAAAATATTACGATATGCCAAGTTTGGGTAAAATTAGAGACTCTTTTGGGGGTTAAAACGCCCATTAGAAAACTAGATTGACGCGAAATGTCCTGAATCGTATCTAGTTCAAAAAGACATCGATGAGAAGAAAATTGGCCCTTTAAGGCTGCGGTTAAAATAAAAAATACAAAAAATGAATTCATACATCTCTAGAATATGTGGGATAGACCTATAAAGTAACGGAGTATTAATTTAAATTTTTGAGTTTGTTGGAAATTGATCGCTGTAGTGGTATAGGGTATGGCTCCTAGGGAAAGGATTGTTTCTATTTTACAAAACTTGTGGTTTTTGAGATTACCGGTTAATGTTTCCAGTTTTTGTTACTATCGGACATAATTTTATTATTATTGTTATTATATTTATTATTATTATTATTATTATTATTATTATTATTATTATTATTATTATTATTATTATTATTATTATTATTATTATTATTATTAATATTATTAATATTTTTATTATTATATTAATTATTATTATATCTTTTTTTATTATTATTACTTCGAAGCGGAACATTTTCAATTTTGCTTGGCCAAGCCAGAACTCGATTGTGCCTCACTTTTTTAATGCCACAAAATTCAAAATGTCCCATGGCTTCCCCATAACCAATAAAAGTCCAATAAGATAAGAAAAACAAAATATTCGGAAGACCTACATACATACACGTGTGTATGTATGTGTCTTCCTTTTATGTGTTTCATAGAAATGTTATGTAATTTGAATTGAATGGAAAAACAAAATCGAATACAACAACAAAAAAACAATTCTTGCATTTACTTAAAATTTAGCTGGAAAATTCTGGCGATCCGCTGGATTTTAATAATGCACACCGTTTATCCTATTGGACCTGTGTCTATTTTCTAATTGTTACCATGTCAACAGTAGGGTATGGTGATGTATACTGTGAGACTGTCTTGGGAAGAACATTCCTGGTGTTCTTTCTGCTCGTTGGTTTGGTAAGTTGGCCTTTCCTTTTCTTTTTTGAAGATTTATAAATTTAAATATTTTATATTGAAAAAATAAATAATATTTATTATGTAAGAAGTTATGTTTGTGTAGAAGACACAAAAGGGTTCTGTGAGAAAAAAAAAAAAAGAACAAAGCTGCTGCCAAAAATTAGGTTAAATATCTATAATAAGTTATTTTTAGCCCAAAGTTTGAGGTTAGGATGAAAGTTAATAATAATAATTGAAATATTTTGTGAGAAAAAAAGAAAAAGTTTAAAACTAACCCACATCAATCAACTGCTGTTCGTGTATTTCGTCTTTGAGGTTATGTGAATTGAATATTCACAAAACAAAAAATAAAATAAAAAATTTGTACCATAACTTATTTATTCGATTGTGTGAATGAAAGTAGAACTATTTTAATATATTTAAATCAAAATACAAAAAAAAAAATAACAATAATTAATAAACTTTTCTTAGATTTTAGTTTTGCTGACCAATACGTTTAGTTGTTGATGATTACAGTTCTGATTTATTTTTTATTTCCCAAAATAGGGTCTCCACCAAAATACCAGTTAAAGTCATTTGCAAAAAAAAAAAAAAAAAAAAAAAATTTCAAGTTTTGATTTTCCATCACAATTTCAACTTCTTCTTCTTCTTTCACTTTGAACTGCCATAGATTTGAAAAACATTAACGGAAATTGTTTTGCACCCATTTTCTTCAAAAATTTTTTTCATTACGTTTTGATTTTTTTTAATAATTTTTTTGTTACACTCTTCTGCCATTATCTTTTAGAGAGAAAATTCATTTAAATTTAAGAAAAAAAATCAAAATATTACTCATCCACATTGTTGTTATCACTCTGCCAGTATAGACCAACCCCCTGAACCCCCAAACCCCTGTTTTGACTTTTCAAATTTTTTTGCATGTTTCCACATACAGTCATGTCTTATTTTATGAAATATTGCGTTGACCTAATTTTTTTCTTTTTTTGAAATATTCGAAAAATTTCCAATTTCGAAAAAAATCCCCGTTTCCGCCTCTCAGTGTATACCAGGTCCAGCATTTTTTTTTCAATTTTGATAACTCAAAATTGCCAGAATAGAATACCATTTTCATGTGTTACGAGGAAACAAAACTAAACATGTTATTAATTTTTTTTTTAACTTTTTGTTCCTTTTAATTTGCATGAAATGCTGGCGGCTGCATATGTGTTTAATAGCTTAACATAAGATAACAACAACAACAAAAAATAAAAAATGAAGCGTTCCCATTAAGTTGTTTTTTCTTGTTGAGAGCAAAAATATGCCAATTAACAATTGAAACAATTAAAATGTGTTAACAAATGTATTAAAAATCATTAGCTTAGGTAGGGACAGGGATGTACTCAAAGAGGGAGATCTATCCCCTTCAATAAAGCTATTTTATTGACATTTTATTTGAAATTTACGCAGCAAAATAATTTTTTTTTTTTGGGTTTTTTGGGTCCCCTGCCGTAATAGTTTACAGATTGCCTTTCTGTGTACGTCCCTGATTAAGAAAGATAAATGTATGTACAGTGGCTCCAAGGTTATGTGTAGAGGCTCTATTTTCTTATGGTATTATATTTTGAAATTATTTTTTTTATTTTTTTAAGTTTTTTTTTTGTTTTTTGTTGAAAATTATCATCTGACCCAAAATTATGTGAGCCACTGTATATATAGCTAATTTGTAGGTATTTTTAGATTTATTGTGGCTCCATGGTTGTATGTTGAGGCTCTATTTTCTTATGGTATTATATTTTGAAATTAATATTTTTTTAAGTTTTTTTTTGGGTTTTGTTGAAAATTATGACCTGATCCAAAACTATTTGAGCCACTGCACATATAGATAATTTTTAGGGATTTCTTTTGGATCTCTTGTGGCTCCATGGTTGTATGTTGAGGCCCTATATTCTTATGGTATTATATTTTGAAAATTTAATTTTTATTTTTTAGATTTATATCCTATTTTGGGTTTCTTTAAAAATTATGACCTCACCCAAAACTATGTGAGCCACTGTATATATAGATAATTTTTAGGGATTTTTTACAAATCTTGGGCTCCTTGGTTGTATGTAGAGGCCTCATTTTCTTATGGTATTATATTTTGAAATTCAATTTTTTTTTTGTTTTTTGGGTTTTGTTGAAAATTATGACCTCACCCAAAACTATGTGAGCCACTGTACATATATATAATTTTTTTTTTTAGATCTATTGTTAACATACAGATCTAGTTTTCAACTAAGTATTAAATATTCCACACCATTCCCTAAAAGTTAAAATTCAATATCCTCTTTTATGTATAAAAGGTCTGAAGTTATATCAAATTTGAATATGGCAATAAAGCCCAACCAAAAATTCAATTAATTTGATTTAAAAAGTCCGAACTCTTCATTTGATCCACAGATTCTGGGTAGAGGTCCTGGAAAAAGTAAATATATTAAAGGTCTCATAGCCATAGATGGCCTATTGAAGGGCTTCTATTTAAAGAAGACACGCGGAAGGGCTCGAAATTGAATAACCAAAACGCTCGTAAAATCGAAAATAAAAATGCAAATCTCATCAAACTTCATACATACCAATATTTCTACCAACACAATATCTGGTGTGAAGATGGAATAAATCGGACGGTTCCTTCTGGTACCTGCCCCACATAGGGGTCAAAATTTTGAATAATTATTACTCTTACAAAATGCTCATTTTCTCTCATATTCTGGAATAACAAAAAAAAAAAACGCTCTAAAAATGCGTATTAGACACCCGATCCTCATCAAACTTTACACTTTTCCATATTTTACAGACAAAAGGTCTGGTGTGAAGAAGGGATATAGCGGATCACCCCTTTCGGTACCTACCCCACAAAGGGGTAACAATTTGGAATAACCAAAACTTTCTTAAAACGAAAAATAAACATCCGATTCTCATGAAACTTGACACATCTCAATATTTCTACCAACACACGATCTGGTGAGAAAATGGAATAAATCGGACCACCCCTTCTGGTACCTCTCCCTCAAAGGGGTATGAATGAGAAGAGAAAACCAACCGAACGGTTTGGCTGTTGATTCAATTCTGTTTTTATTATGAAAATATTTTTCTTACGTACTACTGAAACTAATCTAACTTAACCTAGTCGCAGCCACACAATTGTTCTTATCTATTCTAATATTGAATGGAGAACATTGCAGGGCTGTTTTACATTTCATTCAAGTGATCTTGTGCATCTGCTGAGCGCATCGATATCTGTGCGTGTGGGTCATAACCTTTATTATCTGACACATTATCGTATGCGTCAGCGCACAAGATCAACGAGTTGTTCACATGTGGTATTTTATGGCGGCTGGGAAATATGTAATTTTTGAATATTTATTGTTTATTGCTAGTTTTTCCCAGCGCCTCAACCGCACTCAAAAGTATGTACAAAGTATTTTGTACAGGGTAACAATTTTGAATAACCACAACCTTCTAAAAACGAAAAATAAACATCCGATTCTCATCAAACTTCACACATGCCAATATGTCTACCAACACAAGATCCGGTGTGAAGATGGAATATACCGGACCGCTCCTTCTGGTACCTGCCCACATAGGTGTTAAAATTGTGAATAATTATAACTCTCACAAAATGCTCATTTTCTCTTATATTCTCACCAAATTTCATATATGGCAATATTTTTACTAACACAAGACCTGGTGTGAAGATGAGACATATCCGACCTCTCCTTCTGGTACTTCCCCCACAAAGAGGTCAACATTTGGAATAACCAAAACGCTATTAATTTGCGAAATAAGCATTCGGTTATCATCAAACTTCACATATGCCAATCTTTCAATCAACACAAGATCTGGTAAGAAAATGGAATATATCGGATAACCCCTTCTGGTACCTCCTCCACAAAGGGGTAAAATTTTGGAATAATTATAACTCTCACAAAATACGAAATAAATACCCTATTCTCATCAAACTTCACACATGCCAATATGTCTAGCAGCACAAGATCGGGTGTGAAGATGGAATATAGTGGACTACTCCTTCTGGTACCTCCCCCACAAAGGGGTCAAAATTTTGAATAATCAAAACGCTCTTAAAATCGGAAATAAGAATCCGATTTTCATCAAACTTCACACATGGCAATATGTCTACCAACACAAGATCCGGTGTGAAGATGGAATATAACGGACCACCCCTTCTGGTACCTCCCCCACAAAGGGGTCAAATTTTTGACCCCTTAAAATCGGAAATAAGAATCCGATTCTCATCAAACTTCACACATTCCAATATTTCTACCAACACACGATCTGGTAAGAAAATGGAATAAATCGGACAATCCCTTCTGGTACCTCCCCCGTAAAGGTGTCAAATTTCTGAACAACCAAAACTCTCTTAAAATGCGTACTAAGTTCCCGATTCTCATCAAATTTCACACATCCCAATATTTCGATCAATACAAGATCTGGTGTGAAGATGGGATATAACGGATTACCCCTTCTGGTACCTCCCCCTCAAAGGGGTAAAAGTTTTAAAAAACCAAAACGCCTTTAAATCGAGAAATAAACCTCCGATTCGCATCAAACTTCACACATGCCAATATTTCTAGAAACACAAGATCTGGTGTGAAGATGGGATATAACGGACTACCCCGTCTGGTACCTCCCCCCTAAATGGGTCAAAATTGTTAAAAAACAAAAAACCCTCTTTTAATTTAAAATGAGAATTCCATCCTCATCAAACTTTACACATCTCAATATTTCTACCGACACAAGATCTGGTGTGAGGATGGGATATAGCGGACCAATCCTTCTGGTTCCTTCCCCACAAAAGGGGTAAAATTTTCGAAAAACAAAACACGCTTTAAAAGCTTTTAATAAGCTCCGGATTCTCATCAAACCTTACACATTTCATTATTTCTACTAATACGAGATCTGATGTGAATATGGAATAAATCGGACCACCCTTTCTAGTACCTCCCCCACAAATGCGTCAAAATTCATTTATGCTACAGAAGACCAACTGAAGACCTTCTACCATAAAAGACTTTTCAAAAGTTTTCTTATCCCTTCTTTAAATAAAAAAAATATATATTTTTATTAATGTTGAATATTTTCTATATATAATGACCTGATGAAGATATTCTGTCCATTTTCCGATATCTTGGCTTTAGAAGGCCTAAGTCCTTTTATTTAAATAAAACAATTTTTAATTTTTTTTTTATTTGAATGGTGTTGGATTGCAAAGTTATAGTCGGTTTCAATCGATCTTATCATATTCTATTTATTTTTATATATTTTTAATTACTGAAAGTTTAAACTTTAATCAACCCCCTGCAAAGGAAAATATTTGAGATATTTTACTAACAACAAATCATCCCTTTTGTGTGTATTATGTTTTTTTTTCTTACGCTCTTATACAATAACAATTTTTTTACAATAATTTTTTTTTGACAAATGCATTTTATATTTTAAAAAATAATAATATTGATAATTAAATAATTAATAAATATATCACAAAACGAATGAAATCAAATCGAATATTCTAGGCAATGTTTGCCAGCAGTATACCGGAAATTATTGAACTTGTTGGTAGTGGCAATAAATATGGCGGCGAACTAAAAAGAGAACACGGAAAGAGGTAGTCTAAAATAAACAAAACTTAATTAAGAAAAAAATAAATAAAATTAAAAAAAAAACAAAAACTAAAAAAATTGAACTGAAAATAAAACCCAAAACAATATACAATCATTTCAAAATCATTACTAACATGATTCATACTTAATATTAAATTTCAATTCAATCCTAAGTATTCTTTTGCATATTTCTCTTAAAAAACCCATTTGTAAAAAAAAAAAACAACCAACAACTCTCATTCATCACTTTGTTATATTTTCTCTTTATTACTCACGGAGTTCATTGGTTTTGTTTCCCTATTTTTGTCCTCGTTTGTATATCCCATTTCTTAAAAATTCATATTTAACATTATTTTTATTATTTATTTTCGAAATAATTTTCAAAAATTTTGTAATAAACTTCCTTTTAAATTAATGCTTATTATGGTTTATGATTTAGCCATCCTTCCCCAACCACCACCCTCCATTCCTTTCTCTCTTTAATACATTAATTATTTTTCTTATTGTGTTTTAGCACCAATTCTTAATTTTTTTTTTACTTTTTTCGATTGTTGATTTTGTTTTATGGACTTAAAGTAAAAATTTCTTTCGACATTAGTCTGTTACCCTTAATTTTGTTTGGTTCTTTGTAATGTAGAGCATTAAAAAAAAATAAAAAACAACCAACAAACCAGTCAGTTAAGATATCTATCTAACTATACTCACCGATAACATCATCGAAATATAACTTCGACACTATCCATCATAACTCTTCTTATATTCCACGTATATTTCACCAAAATATTACAACAACGATCCATTTCAAATTCCATCCAACCCGATTTCATTTCAAACAAACTTCGTTAACAATTTTTTATTTTCTACTCCCATTGTGGATTTTTATTTTTAATTTTCGTATAAAACGTGACAGTAGAACAATTGAAGATTGAAATCATGCACTTTTATTTAAAATCTTTTTGTGTTTACATTTTTAAGCTATGTGGGATATTCCATGTCAAAAACACTCTTTAGAGTATGATAAATTAAGAAATAATGAAGACCGGCTAAAGCTTCTGCAATAGGTTAGAACAGTGTTAAGTTGGGACGGGCCGAATGTTTTTGTATTAATTGAAATAAACACAATAAATTGTTTTCCGTTTTATGTGAGAAACGGTACAGCATCATTCACTGTTCATTTCACTGAACATACCCCACACGAACACTGTTCATTGATATTCTTTCGTCTGTGTTACTCTCTTTCTCTGGTTTGCTTATTGTAGAAAACCGATATCGTATTGCTAATCGATAATCGAAAGAGAGTAAAAAAGGAACAGTGTTTGTGTGGGGTATCTTCAGTGTTCACTAGCATAAATACAAATATGACAAGAATAGCAACAATCACACAAGGAGAGTGGGAAAAGAGTTGTTGCTCAAAGAACAATTACTGTACTGTAATAAGAAGAAGCATCAGTGGAAGAAATAACACTGTTTTCTTAGAACTTGTTAATTTGTCATTCCATTGGTGCAACAAGACCAGCCGGGTCGAACTTTTAATACACTCTACCATTCGGTAAAGAAAACATATTTGTATAAAAGTATATGAATTCAAACGTGTCCCACTTTAAACTACAAATACCAGTAAGACCATTTAGATAATGCTGTCAAACTTTTCAAAAAACCATAAAGTGGGTGAGGCCTTTGTATGGAGGCCATACCAAAACGTGAACCTTCACAGCCAATTTTATACTTTAAGGATTGTCATCTATCAAATTTCGTGGGTAAACGTCACTAGGATTATCAAAATATCGAGTATCGGCGGGCATCGTTATATTTGCGCTAAAGGAAAACGTTGACCTATATTTTCAATGTTCCGCCACCGGAGCTAGAACCCATTATGAACTACAAATACCAATTTTTAGACAAGTCCGGGGAAAAATGTGGCAAAAATCATCAAAATGCTGAATATCAGGATGTACCATTATGTGGAGGCTATACGAAAACGTGAACCTATACTATGTTGCGCCACAGCTGGTAGAACCTATTACGACCTACACATACCAATTTTTGGACAAATCCATAAAAAAATGTGGCAAAAATCATCAAAACACTGACTATCGGGTGGTGTTGTTGAATGGGGGCTATACAAAAACGTGGACCTATACATACCATATTTTGCCAATGGATCTAGAACACATCATGACCAAGAAATACGAATTTTTTGACAAATCTGTGGAAAAATGTGGTGAAACTCATCAAAATACCGAATATCGGAAGGTACCATTATGTGGGGACTATACAAAAACGTGGACCTACACATACCATGTTTCGCCACCGGACCTAGGACCCATTATGACCAACAAATACCAATTTTTTGACAAATATGTGGAAAAATGTGGTGAAAATCATCAAAATACCGAATATACCGTACCGTTATAGGGCTGATATTCCAAAACGTTTTCCACAAATATAGGAGGAATTCCCAAAACCTTCTCCATATCTTAACCACAGACACCAAATTGACTCATTTTCAATACCAACCATCCTAGGCACAATACAAATTGTTCTGCCAATTTTTTAAGTTCTACGTCAAATAATGTGAGCTGTATTGTGATTTCAACAGACAGACAGACGGGCTGGCAGGCAGACGAACCTCGTTAAATCGACTTAGAATTTTATGATGATTATTTATACTTTATTTATTTAGGGATGTTACAAACTGATTGACAAAGTTAATATACCCTCCTTTGCAAGGTGAAGGCTATAAAAAGCGAAATGGAGTTGCCAATCTTTTTCTTTGTTAGGTGTAAGATTTTTCAAGTAAATTATTTCAGAAGAGTAGTAAAGTTTTGTTCATATTTTTTGTTGTAATATTTAGTTTACAACTGTCTAAATATCTCTCTCCCTCTCATTTTGCTCTCATTAACTGCACTTTTGACATAACATATTTTGTCCAATGAAAGCTCCACCTGGAATAAAAAGCGCTCCACATAATTTTTTTCAGATAGTTTCCCTTTGATTTGACATGGAATGAACCCACACATCAATGATTTTATATAATTAAAAATTTTATATATTTTTTTATTATAGAAATAATTTCCTATTTCGCTATCAAATAAAATTCCAAGAAATTTCCAAACGCATGTGCATTTTTGTCATCTTATTTCGACAAGCTCAACTTGTGTTGAGGACAGGGATCAACCATTTAATTTGCCCACATGGAACATTACTTTATATTTTTTTTAAGACGTTACTTCACCATCACTTTGACCACAACCATCATTACCACGTCAACACCACCACCAGGTAGTTTAGATTTTTTAGTGCGTTTGAGAGCCTGTTGAAAAAAACTATAAAACTGAAAATAATAATAAAAATATCAAAAACAAAATACAACAAAATAAAGAATAATAATAAAACTAATTCGTTATTTCGTTGATAAATCAAATGAGTGTTGTTTCTTGTTATTATTCTAACTACATCGTAATGACATTTTTTGTTTTATTTCGAATATTTTTTTTTTCAAAATATTTGAATTCAAGACACTCCATCACAACTCTATCTCTCTATATAAGACACCGTAGTTCTCATTTGAAAATAAAAAACAAATTAAAATATATTTATTTGAATCGAAGAAGATATTGGATTTTTTTTAATTTTTTAGAATATATTTAAAAGTATTAAAGCTTTTATAATCCTTTGAAGTAACAAGAAAGTTTTAAATGGACATAACTTGAAAATTAAAATATCTTAAAGTTGTTAGTTTAAAGCAAAAACTTTTCTTTGTAAATTATAAATATTTGTTCTCCTAAATTAGAGAGATCTGATCTGAGTTGTAGGCCTTATATGTGTAAAAGTAGACATAACGTTAGTAAGCAAAGTTTTAGTTACCAATTAAATACATGATTATAAAATATGTGTCTACTTATTATTTTTCAAAGATCTATAGATCTTTCTTTTGGAAATAATTAAATGTCTCCTTTATATAGAAAAGAAAAAGGTATTCTACCAATAAAATGAATTATATTTATGGTTGGTTATAAGAAGGATTTGTGGAGCGTCCTCCATCTCTCAGACATGATAGAACGTCTTCTATTTATAGAGAATCCATAGATGGTAATCATTCAATAGAAGACCCATTGTGGACTTATTTTAAAATGTCGGAAATAGCATCAAATTTTAGAAAATTGGTCACCTTTGGCACGAATTACGGCCTTCATACGGCGAATGAAACCGTCACACGCTGCTCGTTTCCGGCGAAGCGCTTGCTTGAGGTGATCGACACTTTGGTATTTTTTAGTGCCAACCTTGGTATCCGGAGATTTTGGTGGCCATTGTGCGCTGGAAATGAAGCGAGGAACCTCATTGTGTAACCATTATTGGGTGGAGCGTACTTAGTGCGAGACCTGTTGGAATGTCCAAGCTCTGCGGCCAAAATCTTTGCTTGCCCAAGGCTTTGATACACCCTCCAGAATATTTTCGCGAAAATATTCGGCATTTATTCTGATGCCACGGACGATTATTACGAGCGTAGAGCTACCATCGGCTAATATGGCGGCCCACACCATCACCATGGCCGGTGCTTGAGTTCTGGTGGCCAACCGAAGGTGCACATTTTCAGCTGACCTCTTTGGCAAATAAATACGATCATTTTGTTTTTTTTTAAAAACTGCTGGATAACGAATGTTTTCTCATCGGAGACGGAGAAAACAAATTCAATTCAGTAGTTTACCACTTTCGGCCAAGCGAAGCAACTCTTTAGTATCGTCAGTCTTTTGAGTTTTCTTTCTTTTGCGGTGTAAGTTCTTGCAGTTTTTTGAATTTCAATGACTTTACCCCGAGCTAATTCATCAATATTCAAATGCTGGAGTGCTATAACGATAGCCACCTGTGGTTTTCCAGTCAAATATAAAGAAATCACACAATCACGATTGAATTCCATCACGAATAAATTTTTGTTTCTGGAAAATTCTCACCAAAATGCTTTTGTACGCATGTAAGCCATATAAGGAGCTGAGACTGGAATAAT